ACAAAACAAAAAAACAACCGACGGAAGGGAAAAAAATAACATGCTCATAGACCTCAATTCTCAATGCGCGCAACGATAACTGTACCGGGTCACGCCAATCTTAATCAATTTACGAAGTCATTTGGTTTATGCTAACATCTTCCTCAAATTCTCATTCATGCCACATCCCCATGGCAGTGGAGGCATACGATGCCACACTAAACCTTTGAAACAACTAGAAAAATGACACATTTTCTCGGGTTTTACCATATGCAAATTTTCGCACTCATGATTAAACTAATTCGATGCTAACTTTCAGCTTTTGGCTCGGCGGTTTTCCTTTTCAAAACCTTACATCAAATCTTGTAACCTATACAAAATTAAAACAACTCAAACATGAATCTCCAATGTTGCCCTGAATAATTATACTTAGTACGCGCGTGCAACAATTACTCAACTGACCGTGCCCCCTTTTCTACAATCGATTCGCCTGAATCGCACCCGATGGGGTCGCTTTCCCGGCGGCTTTCGAGCACGCCAGAGGTTACGAAAACCACGAACGCCAGGCTGTGTCCCGCTGTCACGCCTCATTCTGCATTTCGGCTGGCTCCCCTCAGGAATGTGCAAGGGACGCCAGAAACAGGGGGGAAGCCTGGGTAATAGTGTCTTTGTGGTCGCCCCCACGCAGTACTTAGCCGTTGTGCCCCTTCGACTTTGAACCTTCGGGCAAGGCCGCTTTCCCGAAGTCGTCGAAATGAACCGCGCGTTTCGTTCGGGTGACGCACCTCCTTTTCCTCCTCCAAAGCTGGCTCGCCGCTTGTGCCAGGCTGAACGCCACCATTGACGTTTCCTAAAACTGATTGAATGCCTACCCCTTCGTCTTTCTGGCGACGGGGTGGGACGAGTCCTAGGCTTAGGCAGTGTCGAACGCTTTCGCTTCTTTCTTTTTCGGCGATGTTTGCTTGCCTCTTTTCTCTCGATGCCATCATCATGTCGCGTCGGGAACTGAGTGGTTGGGAAGCTCGTTGGAGCTCGTGCTACATTTTGCCCCACGCTCAAACATTTTGAACTCGGTGTCACGACAGACTGCCGGGCCAAATTATCTTTGTTAATGCTGATGAAACCATTAACTGGGCCCTCTCCGATGGCATCGCTGCACTCCTGAAGCGTCGCGTTCTCGCTGTGTTTAGCCACTGTACTAACCCTATCTGCATGTGACGATCTCGAGACGTCCTCTCGAGGCATGAGGATGGTTTCCAGCTTCTTACTGAGTCCATTAGGGCTGCTGGCACACACCTCATCCTCGCTAGGACCGTTTTTTGATACTGTCTCTACCTCGAGACCGGCCAAGGCCTCGTTCTCAGCATATTCTACCTTGATGCATTCTAGAATACGCGGGCCCTTTTCTGGCGCGATCTCTGGTTCTAGCGCTTCCTGCCACACTTTAACGTCCAGCGCTTTCCGACGCGCCTCACTTTCAGACTGTTGTCTCTCTGCTTCGCGCTCTCTTTCAGACTCTTGTCTGAGCTGCTCTTCTTTTGTCCAGACAGAAGTTCCGAACATCCGGAGCATCTCTGCCTTAACTACCTCGTAGTTGTTCGCGTTCTGCTGACCGAGTCGCGCAACAGCTTCATTTGCCTCGCAAGGCAGAACCGTGAGTAGCCCTTGACACCATGTGTCTCGCTCAACTGCCAGTTCCTCGCCGGCATCGCCGTGCTCACTGCTGGATCGGCTAACCCTGCTACCCTCACTGAGGCGAATCTTTAATTGCAGTAACTGGACTTCCCGTTCTCCGGCTTCCCTTGCCGCTTCTCGTTCTTTCGCCCTTTCTTTGCGCTCTCTCTCCCTTTCTTCCCTTGCCGCTTCTCGCTCTTTCGCCCTTTCTTCGCGTTCTCTCTCCCTTTCTTTTTCCCTTTTCTCCCGGGCCTGTGCCCGCTCTTCTCTGGCTAACGCCAGCGCCTGTTCCTGCTGCTCCTTAACACATTGTCTCAGTTCGGCGCCCTCGAGACCTAACTGTTTACCGTGCGCGATCCACTTGTCAAAATCCATACACTCCATACTGCAACTGTCACTATAATGCCACTATAAAAACAGCGCAATCATTGCAGGATGCAACCGCTTCAACTGTGCGGCTTTATCACCACGCTATCCGCACGGTTCTCGTTCACCCCTCACTGTCTTACTCTTGTACGGAACGTCCTGTCTCGCGGACGCCAGTTTTGTTACAAGCTGTCACTCAAGCGTCGCCAGCGCGAAGTCGGCGACGGGAATGACAGCAGGTTGGTTCGTTCCGCACGCAAGCAGAGACAGTGAAGAGATCAGAGACGTGAGAAAACAAAACAACTTTACTCTAGTGATATTGCGGCACACGGGATCTAATACAACACTTCAATACAACTAACAAAATACATCGACACTTGATACAACTACAGAGATATATAACAGAAACAATAAATCAGCTTACGAGAGAGACCTATTACAAACTACACAAACTAACAAGAATGGAACTACGGAGGAGAAAGTTCGAAGATATAAACAGGTGAAGGCATACGTGTGATGACCGGCAGCGTTGCGTCCCCGACGATCGGATGCGAGAAGTCGAAGAGAGTTCTGGCACGACTGCGATCTCGGCGGTGTTGCAATGCTGGTGGCTCCGGGAGGCTAGTGCTTGCAGGTGACTTCGAGCAGGTTGAGCTAACTCGAGGTGAAGTCCCGATGTCTACGTTGCAGACGTTAATATCGCGTCACAACTAGACGAACGGCTAAGTTTAGGTGGCCAGCCGATACAGAGCCACACTAAAAACTTCTAGAAGAGATGCTTGTTGATCTGTTTCTACACCATCTTGGTCAGCGACTAGTCTGCCTAGCAGGGCAAAATCCTGCGCTTAAATCCCCCTCGTGTCTCCTCGCTCTCTTCCTTGGGGACAAGAGACCTCTACCTGGGTCCAATCATGCACGTTTAATTGAGGGGAAACTCCGCCCCAAAAATATTTCGACCCCACCCCTTTTTAATAGGGAGAGGGCCCGCAACTAGCGAGAGTGACAACCTGTCGGGTTTTTGTCATACGGCTTGGCCACCAGAGCGTTTCCCACGCTTTTCTCCGTGGGAACGGTCAACCACTTAGCTCTCAGCCGGGCGTCTTGTAGTCTAATCCTTGTACGGGGTATACCGCGGCCTTCTACGACCTTGCAGACGTCGCCACGGTTACAAAAGGATTAACTGTCGGCGGCGACGTTCTAAGGAGAGCACCCCCATTTTGCACTTATCGGTTCCCTTTCATGTGCCGCCGTTTCTCACGGTCAGTCGGGGAGTACGGCGCCCGTTAATTGCCGTGACGCGGTGTCGCCGAAAATAGCCGTCCGTGACAGAGACACTTGGGTGAAGGACTTCAGAAATTTCAACCCCCTGGGGTTCAAATCCAAGTGAACAGGTCTCTGGCATTTCGAACCCATGGTCCTTGGCGCAGTAGTTGTACACTATAACCACTAGACTAGGCGGGCAAGTTCAAGGTAAAACTATTAGTTTTATTTTTGATATAATGAAAATCAGGTCAACAAAGTCCTCTTTGAAATGAGTAATTTTATTTTCCTGATCTTAGCTGAACCTTTCCACGTCTTTCAGGTCAGCAGCTGAGAATCTTAACCAAAGAGCCACCATTTCAAACATGTACTTGAAGCCTCCAGTAAATTTAGCGAAAATCCACGAAAGCTGGTTGAGGAAAAATCGTTTACATGTGCTTTCGCATAAAGCTTAAATAATCAGGAACGCCATCATGCGTGCTTTGTGAATTTGCATTGTGCGTGCGAGAAATACTGCTGCCATTTCTGCAATAGGATGTTCGGCTCGCTCAGACTTATAAGTACCACAAACTAACCTAGAAAATAATGTGGAGACGGCTTGTAGCAATGCAACAATATTTATAGCTGCAGGTGGTGTAACTGACGAAGACAGAAAAAACAGCACTTGTCCGGCATCATTGTCTTTGTCATTTTTGTTGAATGTGTTTGAACCAGGACAAACTCAACAAGTTTTTCGCATCTTTGATAAACGTTCTCACTTTCTCACTGATAATTCTATATTAAAAAAAAAAAAAAAGCCACAGCAAGGATTCTAGAAGGATGAGTGGCCAGACCTTCGCCAAAGCTGTATTTCCATTTCAATTAAGGGAACGATGAGGTTCTAACCAACAATCTTCATTTCATCAAGCAGCAGGAACTGCCACTATGAAACAAGCTATTTTCTTTGCCCCCAACTGCAAGTCTAATCCATTCAGTGCTTTCAGCACTCAGCATGCCAGCATGTCTTTCTAAGTGGGAGCTAATCACTTCAGATAAGCTGAACTCCTGATAAGTTAAACAACGGAGCAAAATTTTTTTCAAGTTCGTCTGAACTGGAGTCTACTAAATGAACTTTGGGTCTTTGTTTTTTGAAACGTTGCTAAGCTAAAAAAGGAAAAATATATAAAAGCGGCAAAATGCTATTGGGTTTCATGTTTTATGTGAGCATTATAAGCTTCAGTCAGATGTTTATTATTACATTCTCCGAAATTTCTCGTTGCAGTGTTCCTTTCAATTGGCACAGCACCTATGAAAAGCACAGGGTACAGGAGCTTGTGCGTCACAATGAGGGAGAGACGTCGAAGGCAGACTGTATTCGAGAAATGTCCTCATAAAAATGAAAACAAAATTTTTTTTCTGTAATGGATCTCACATGCAACTTGGCAAATGATTTCATTTTCTTTTTAAATTTCAAATAAATAGAGCACTTCATTTGAAAAAAGAAAAATTCTGGCTTTGTTGCATGTTCAAGACTACTGTTCAAATATGCAGTGCAATGCCACAGCCTTGGGATAGTAGACTTTCCAGTAAATCTTGCTGAGCAAAGCAGTTAATCATAAAACCTACATTTGTCTGTTTTCAAACTAGTCTTAAAACTGAAGCAAATACGGAGAGAACAGTTGAATAACACACAAATGTGAGCACAGTCAGCTTCAATACAAAATCCACAAAAACACACTTACTTCATGACAAACAGTAGGGCAATGCATTTATTGTCCAGCAAAGATAATAAAACAACTAGCTAACCATACGAAGTGCACCATCTAGACGAATCACCTCGCCATTGAGCAAAGGGTTTTCGACAATGGACTGCACGAGGTGGGCATACTCGTCAGGGTCTCCCAGCCGCTTGGGGAACGGAATGGTCTCGGCCAGGAATGTGCGCACCTTCTCGGGCAGCGACTCCAGCAAGGGTGTGTGAAACAAGCCTGCAGAGAAGTTCCGTTGGAATTAGAGCAGCAATGCCATAGCCAGTGCTTTTTGGAATCACAGTCACACCAAACTGAGGTTGAATGAAATTTGGGTTTTTAAAAATTTTTACCATGCACATGCTGCGTGACAAGACTTTGTCAAAGAATGTTTTCTGAAATATCAAGATACCTTAAATATAGAGCTGTGCCAATAGCAAATTATTAGTTGCAAAGTGAACTTGAATATTGAAATGGGATTGTGAATAAAATTAAACAGTTTTCAAATATTTCTCATATAATTTAAGAATATTTTTCAAATATTCCTAAGTGAGATTCAAGAAAAAAAAAACATGGGAGAGGATTTTTAGGCACCTTTGTATGAGGTAGCAACATAAAAGTATTTATTCTGGCTAGGTCGATGAAGCGCTGGTAGGTAGGTGTTTCATAGATATCTTACCAAGAATGAGGCAGGGCATAGGCCGAGCTGTACTTATGTACATGATTTGGTCCTACTAAAAATTAAGTATTGCCTACGAGACTTTACACACGAACCGCAAAAATGCTGCCTCCTCAGCCCCTTCTCCTCTTTCAAATTTTGTGGATGCCAAACAATGTTGCAAACAAGGGTTTGCTCCCTTCAAGTCCAGAGTTCCATATCTGCCTTAAACGTCAATATATAAGAGCATCTAAAATTTTGCACACTAAAAATCATCGGCGTCTGATTCTTTTCAGATTTCCTGCCCAAATTTCAGGTCCAAAACAGCATTCACTGAACTTCTTCCACATTTATTATCTCTATGTTAGAACCAGTGTTTTTTTTTTCTTATTTCAATACATTTACGACTGTAGCAGAGCCTGAAGGGCAGCTTTGCCGCAATACGGTGTGCGATGGGGTGAAGCATAATAAAAATCTCAAGAGGCCACTGCCAATCTGACAATCTGATAGTGACTGTATTTGTCCTCTGGAAGTTTGAATAGTTTCTAATCGCCAAATTCTAGTATGAATCGAATCAAATAGCAAATACTATAAAAAATATATATTCGGAATTTCGAGTATTTGCACACCCTTAATTAAAAAATGCAGTGCAGAACAGCTAGCTCACAGGATGCGAACAGACGGGATGCAAGCGAAGACACACTGCTGTCTTGTCATTACGTCTCAAAAAATGTTTCATTTCCACTGTGTTTTGCAGAAACATTTTCAACTATTTGCAGCTCGAAATGCGCCCAGGATTTCTGTCAAAGGGGGGAGGAGGGGTTGAAATTTCAACTTGACAAAATGATGGGATTACAGGGTAAAGGAAAGGAAGTGCATCAGCTTGAGTAATTCACAAAGCATCAGCTTGAGTAATTCACAAAGCAAGTAAAATTACAAACAATAATAGCATCCAGTTTGCATTTCTACAGAGTCAATCACTTTGACCTTTCCTGGATTGCAATGTCAACCGTTGTAATCGTGCTTGGGCCATGCCACAGCCACTACTAGCAGGGCAGCAAAAAAAAAAAAAAAAAAAAAAAAAAAAAAAAAAAAAAAAAAAAAAAACAGGAATCCAGGAAATGAACAAAATCAAGATAGCACTGCTCAGTTAAAGGTGCAGGAACGGTGCTCGTTCTAACTTGCGCTTGTTTGGCTGGCACACCAGCTAATGCTGCTTATTAGAGACCTTAGTTGAAGCAATTTGCAATGTACTGGGCATTCATAATTACTGAATAGATAGCTTATTATACAAACAGCCCAAATACGTGTTCTTTCATAAAATGACTTTCTCACAATTTAAAATTTTTTCTAAGCCCGCATCCTCCTCAAAGATATGCATTGAGCTTGATGAAATGTACAGTGGGCTGTATACCTTCACCTTACTGCCCATAAGTGCACTACTTGCTGGAATAGTGATGCTGTATTCCAGGTTACTTTTGGTCTTTTCTCAGTGCGCTGAAAAAACTTCAGTGTGAAGTAAGCCTTGCCTGGTGCGATAGCGCAGCAGCGGATGCCCTGGGAAGCCAGGTCTCGTGCCAATGGCAGTGTCATGCCCACAATGCCCCCTTTGGAGGCACTGTAGGCCACCTGGCCAATCTGCCCCTCGTACGCTGCCACGCTGGCAGTGTTCACGACAACGCCCCGCAGACCGTCGGGGCCCCGCTCGTTTTTGCCGATGAGGCCAACCGCCAGCCTCACCACATTGAATGTCCCCACCGTGTTCACCTGCAGTACAGAACAAATGGCTATGTGCTTTGACTCTGACAAACCCTGCCACACACATTCTGGGTATCTTTGACTGCAAGGCTGTGTTTCTGAGGAATCAAGCCACAGCTTAACATTGTTACGTAAGAATTGCTATGTAGCTATATTAAGCCTGCACTTCATGTATGCCTTCCTCCATGACACAACTTATTTTTCCTTTTTATATGACATTTGACATTGCTCTGAATGTCGTTACTGGAACCACACAACTGACTGGTAGTATTCTGTATTTGAACAAAAAAAGCAAGTGATACTGACTTTCTAAAAAATGGTTTAGCAAGTCCAGGACAAGATGAAGAAAAAAAGACAAGGTAAAAAAAATGTGCTAGGTGTTTAATAAACAAGACACTATGTACCAGGCTAGTCATTCTGTTAAGTGCTCCAATAATAGTGGTGTGTCTGAATCTACATGCGGTGTAAAAGATGTGCTGCACTTTTGTCTTGCTACCACCAAGCATTTTGTGGTGTCATGTCACCTATGTTAGATAGCCCCATTGCAGTGAGCGCACTTCACACCTGCACAGCAGCACCCTTTTTTACAAGCGGTCTATGAATGTGTTCACCGATGTTGACTAAGCATGTTTCAGAGTTCAGAGGGCTAATACTTAACCACTCATTTCCATGCTATGCTCTCAAGTGCCTGCTCTGGCTCAGTCGATGGAGAGCGTGCCTTGCTTTTCGTTCAACGAGTTTTTTTTTTAGGTGTCTTAGATTTCTGCAGCAAAAGTGTGGGCAGGAATAATCTTGAAATAACTTGATGCAATTAAATCTGAAGCAATGAGGTGTATTGCCACTGTAGCATGTAAAGTGTGCACAAAAAGTGCAATCTGGACAAACTGGAAAATGTTCATCACGAAAAATGAACGAAGACCAACAAGGAGATGCAATGCAATCACTCGTGACTGCATCTTTGTCTTTGATTGACACATTGATGAAAAGTGAAGGTACCGTACTTACTCGATTCTACCGCGCCGCCCTCGATTGTAACGCGCTCCCGGTTTTCATGAAGAAAAAAAAAGTAAGACATCGATTGCAACGCGCACCCATTTTTCTCGTTGGCCCGCACGATCACACCACTCGGGAAAACGACTCCTTTCGCGAGCGTCTTCCGTTTAAATATGAGGTATGGGGGAAGCTTGGGCCTATCTGACGTGCAACGGAGCATTGCCGTCACTTTAGTTTTGCAGTGGCCCGGTGTCAGCATGCAAACTTGCTTCACCCCCTTTTTCTCGACGGTTGTGGTGCCAGGCATGTCAAAGTAAAGAGGCGTCTGATCGGCATTCCCGATTTGCTCAAGCAGGTAGCCGTTGTTGTGCCGCAACTTTTGGCATATGCCCGTTCACCTTCGGAGGGAAAAGCCTTTCCTCTTCATAAAGTTAGTTAGCCAGCACCTGCCTCGCTTTAAACTGGCTCCCCATTAGCCCTTTTTCTAAGGCTAACTGCATAGCCTGCACTTGGAGCAGTTTTGTCGTCACGGGCCGCTCACTGCTTAATCATATACTCGCCAAGCAGCTCTTCGATTTGCGGAAACCGACCCTGCTGTGGTCCACTGAAGCCTTTGCGTGAATGTTTGCTGTCGACAATATTCTGCTTTTGTTTCCGCCAGTCCCGCACGCACGTTACGGGAACTCCGAACGGCCGCGATGCGGCCCGATTTCCATCCGTTTCGGCACACACGATGACATTTCTTTTAAAAGCGGCATCGTGGTGCACTCGTCGAGTTTTTGGAGTCGGCCCTTTTATGCCGTGGATGCTAATGCACTACGAGATGACGAACTCCTCAGCACACGTACGAAGTGCTGCACATGGGAAACACATAGGCAAAAATGGCCAACGCGCCATGCCGACGCATGTAGGGGGTGGCCATTTCGGAAATGCCGATGGCAATAGAATGACCGTATTCATTTTTTTTTTCGTACTCGATTCTAACGTGCATGCGATTTATGAACTCGCTTAACCGCAAAAAAGGTGCGTGTTTGATTCGATTAATTACGGTATGCATGAACCAAGCCTCCAGAATATCCACCAGTGCTAGAACCATATCCACACGTGGCACATCTTAAGTTTTACTCCGCCAGCCTAACTCGTACTCAGGCTCACTCAAATCCCATTGAGGTCCTTCCTACTGAATACAGCATTGCACAAAATTCAGGGTATGATGAGGGACAGATTTCAGAGCAAAATGAGTGCTACTTTACAGTGACACTTTTACGGTGTGCTTGTGAATCAAGCGACAGTGGGAGCTCTCTGAAGTGCCAAAACTTGCATTCACAAGTCATAGATAGCTCTCTACACAAGACAGGTATGCTATATTAGGAATGCAGACATGAACAATTTTGTGCACGGAAAGTGTTACGACAATCCCAAGACATTGTGGGCATATATTGAACCACATGGAATGTTTAGTTTGCCGAAAACATTTAACTTCTAAATGACTATGCCAGTAAACACACTTACTATACGTTTACAAATCAATAAAAAAAGTTAACACGTGCGGCAAGTACGAAAAATCATGAGGATAGGTGTGTTTGATGTCGCTTTCTAAGTATGCACTCTCCAGTACATATCTGAAGATATTACTTAGGCGATATATTTACCAAGCATGGTTGCATATTGAGGTGCTAAAATTGAAAAATGGCATTTTCAGTAGAAGTGAGCAAATAGCAAAATTTTAAGTGCAAAGAAAATCCAAACAATAAAATTTGAGTGAGAATTGAAGAGAATAATTTTTTGTTATTTCTTGAATGTTTTTCCAATGCTTCAAAGCAAACTAAGAGAAAAAAAAAGTTGTAGAAGATTCTTAAGTACGTTAGAAGTTATATTCTAAAAAATTGTAGCTCTGTGTAACTGCACAACCATGCATTGCCATTATGGACTCTTCCAAAAGAGAATTTTTTTTCATCTGCAAATTTCCTGCCTCAGCTAGGTCCTCAGCGTACAAAAAGCAAACGTTCAAAGCTCTGTGGCGACCACTGCGCACAAATCTGCACAGCCTCGGTCTTGTCACTGATTAGTTTGGTGTGACACGACGACTTTCAAGACCTCCAATCAGCTGTGTCCGCCATGTTGCTCTAGCATGCCTCACCATTGGTTGATGCTAGCTCCGTATGAGCATCATCTGCTGCTTATCCGCTGCGAGACAACGGCTATTGACAGCCGTGCTACTTAGCGATGCGTTGGCAACCCTGTGTTCATAGGTCGTTGATCACTTAGAATGTAATTATGCTTTAGTTTGGCAGCAGCTAGCAGAATCTCAAAGCTTCAAAGTTTCAAAGTTTATTTGCAGGAAAGAAAAAAAAAAAATACAAAAACTTCCCTGCGGGAGGCAAAGACTAAAGGCTAAATAGCCTGACGAGGTCTTGACCTCCTGATACAGTCTGCATCAGTGCCATATTACACATATTCACACATCAGTAACATACATATACAAATAAGTGACATTATACATATCTTATTTAGTTACATAGCTTATTTCTACATGATATACATTCAGAATATGTTTTACATAAACAGGAAACAATTTTTGGTATCAAACGATTCTGTTTAAGTATCATTGTTCACAGTAAGAAAAAAATCAACTCAGTATACAAGTATTCCTAAATATAAAAGCCTATGGATCTACTATGTCTTTAGTCAAAAGAAGAAAGGATTTATGATGACATTTAAATTGTTTAGTTTTCAGAGTAAAGTCTATATTCGATTCGTGAAGGTTTAGCAATTGTATGATCTTATAATCAATAGCCTGCTTGCCATAGTTCGTGTGTGTTTTCTTAGTTTTGCGGGTAGAATTTCTGAAGCCATATGTTGTTGATACAGTGCGTGGAAAGGAATCCTGTAGTTTATGTTTGTGGATGTGTTGCATCAGTTTAAGATTATATACTTTCCTAGCAGATAGAATTCCATGTTTAAGAAAAAGCGGCTGAGTGTCTAAGTCCTTGGGGTGACCTTTATATTTTTCTATTACACGGAGCGCGCGCTTTTGCAAGATTAATATTCGATCGTAATTGGTCTTAGTTGTTGTTCCCCATACAAGCATTCCGTATAACCATGCACTGTCTTAATCTGATATATCAGATTAAGACAGTGCGCTGTGTCCGTTGCGAACATCACAGATGTGTGCCTCAGATTCATAAACCCCGCATTTAGAGATTATGCAAATCAGTGCTTTGAACATCGTGACGAAAACCATCGTACGACGAGTCTTTGTGCTCACAATCAAGCGTGACATACTATGAAAAATTGGGCACCACGGCCACGCAGACAGCGACCAAGCTTACTGTTTGCAGTCGTGGCTAGGACCAACTCTGCTCACGGCAGCAATGTGCAAAATGAATTCGAACTTTGTGTGGAAGGACATCACGCTCTTAAACATGCGAAAGTGAAGAAACTGCAATTTGATTTATCGCAAGAAACGAATCGTCTTGCCAGCTGGTTTCTCAGAACCATGGATGGGCATATATTTTGCACATTGGTTGGCAGCGGGTCCCCTTGCCAAGCTCGTCGCGCAGAGACCTCTTGGTGGCACTGAAGGAAGCGGCTAGCTGTACTGCACATCAGCACCCCAAAAAGCCAGGCCAAGCATGCATGCTGCATACTAATTTTTCATTATTATAAACATTTTATTTATTTTTGAGGGGTTCAAATAGCAAATTTCCAAATGCAAATCGAATTTAAAACAATATTAAAAACATTTGATAACTTGAATATACATACACCTTTTTTTTTAGTCAATTTTATCCTCCAGCTCCATACCTCTTGGCCAGTGACATAGCCGGAGGTGGGGGTAAATCCCCTTCCAAAATTTATGTTCACACATACACCACAGTAAGTCTGACGTCCCTTGCCCCCCCCCCCCCCCCCACCCCCCCCCCCTTCCTCCTTAAAATATTTCTGGCTACGTTACTGCTCTTTGCTCTGAAATACAAATTTAAAGTACACAGAGTGTCGATGTTTTACAGCCAATTTGATAATCAACAGTACTGTGCGAAAACTCACCATAACCACTTTGGTGAAGTCTTCCAGGCTATGAGGCACATCCTTGTTGAAGTTGTACGTCTTGAAGGCGACACCAATGCCTGCACAGCTCACAGCTACATCTAGCCGCTTGAACTTCTCTTTGATGGTAGCCATTGCTCTTTTTACATCGTCCTCAGACGTGACCTGGCAGGAGAAGAAAACACAAACGAGAATTACAAAGGCACTTTTGTTGCATGAAACTGACCACAAAAAGCCAAGTATTATCGTGCATGCACAAAGTTTCGCAAAGGCTCTATTACCAAAGAAGAGCATTAGACAATATTCTGGGCTAAGTTTGCCCTTTACTGTGTGGCAACTCATTTGACGCCATTTTATACTCACATGTGCTGTGCCTCCTATACAAAAAGACGTTTATGTATCCTACTGATCTGGGCATAAAGAATGACAGCTTTTTGCTTCCCTGGACGCATTCACATCCTTCATTCCTCTTGGTGGTTTTAGATGTAGTAAGGTTATTTTAACGTTGCAGAGATCACTGCCACTGAGCATTTAAAGATGTCAGTTTTGTTACATCTGAACATGGTTGCAGAAAGCGATAACAAAAAAAAAAAAAAAAAAAAACTAAAGGTGTGCGAATATTCAAAATTTCGAATATTTTTTCAGTAGTGGCTGCTATTCAATTCGATTCACACTGGAATTTTACTATTCGAAACTATTCAATCTTTCTGAAATCTAATTCTGCCATCAGAATGACAATGGCCCCTTCAGATTTTTCAATAGTCTTCACCCAATCACACACTTGTACCGCGGCAAATCGGCCTTTCAGGTTCTGGTACAGTCGCAAATGCACTGAATCAAGAAAACGCTGGTTCCAACATGGAGCTGATATATGTGGAAGAGGAGGGGACACAACCAATGCTATTCTGTACATGAAATTCAGGTGAAAAGTCCGCAAAGTCGGATGCTCATGATTTTTAGCATCCAAAATTTCAGATGTTCTAATATACATTGACGAACATATTTGGAACTTCGGACTCGAACACAGCAAATACTTGTCTGCCACACTTTTGTTTCTTTTAGTCCATGAAAGCCATATAGAGTGGTTTGTTATGTTGTGCAGATTTCTCGATTACTGAGCGCATCATTATGACCTATTGTAGAGTACCCATTACTCATGTCAACATTCTCTACAAGGTTGGAGCCAGGTGTTTCTCTTATTCTGCATGAAATTACTCTCATAACAATTTTGTATTACCCTCGTTAGTAATCTGATGGGATCTGCAATTCTTAGTTTTTTGGGTATCCCCTCCAGCATATTATTGTATTGTCGGCATTTTCTATCGCTCTGGCACATGTGAAATTGACTGTGCATAACGAGAACCTTCTGCCAGAATCATACAAATAGAAAACATGAATGTAAAGCCCTAATGGCGCATCAAAAACGACAACCAATTTGTAATGCATGGCGACCCAGGAATACTTCTGGACATAGAAGTAATAGACAAGGTAAACTGTGGTGATTGGAGGTTAGCGAGGCTGAGGATCGGCTTCAACCTGCAGAAAGCAAGCGAAAGCTGAACCATTAAATAACAGGTTAACCGTAATATATGCACAATAAAAGCACCTAAATTCAAGATTGCCCCTGCTAAAAAACGTTAGGACAAGAACAAGCTAACAACATAGGGGGAATGAAGAAAACCGTGAATACACTGACTTCTGAGGCTGCAATTGAAGTCGGAGGTGAACCACTGAAGTTGAAAGAGATAATGTTGCTAAGGCTAATTTTCCACTTCAGACCTCATAGTACAATGTCAATCAGTCGCTCAAAGTTAAAGGGTGTTACAGACCCCAGAAGACAATTTCAGGAACAAATTTTTCCGATTCCCCAATCAGAATCAGTCGTAGTTTGAAGGCAGGTGAATGAGAGCACAAACAATGACTAAAATAATCATTATTTTTCAAAACTGACTGTCAGGCCATTTTTATTGTTCGAATTTAGGCCCCATCCTGCTCAGAAAAACCTCATACAAGCTGCTCATACAAGCTTTTTCAGCCATGGGTACGTTTGTTCATGGCACGGGGGTATCAACCAACTCACACCAATAAATACCTTCATCATAGTGAGCCAATTTATCTTGACAGTGTCTCATAAACAGCACCAACTATAAGGAAGTGTTTCTTTCACTTTTTAATTCCAGCACTGTTTTTAGTATGCCGAAAAATATACTCTTTATAATTTGCACTGAAAATTTCATGAACAGAAACTTCATGTGCAGAAAAATTAAAAACAGGAAGGTTGTTTGAATTTGTGATGAGCGAAACTACCCGATTATGTTTATTCGACAGAATCAGCTCAAGAGCACATGGGCACGAAGCTAAGCTAAACACACTGAATGCATGTTTACCATGAACATGGTTCCCCGACCATTGTTACCGAATGCTAGCTAAAGTTAAAAGAAATTGGTACTTTTATTATTTTTTTTATACTGCACTTGTCTTCTATATATGTATATTTCAAAGCTTTCTTTGTTTTCCTTTCAAGTTTTGCTTTTAGTACTAAGTTATCAAACTGTCTAAGTACCCCAAAGGCCTTGTCCTTTGAGTTGTCCTCATGTAATTTCAGAGAGAGAACATTCATTTCAGAGTGTTCATTTTGTTAAAAAGGTGCGATGGACTGATAATTCGTACACGAAACAGGCAAGGTTGGAGTGATACCAGACAGTCCATTCTTGTTGCTGCTACAGCTGCCAGCAATCAGGTTTAGCTATAGCTGCCATTAACAGCCATTTTTTTTTTCTTTCATTTTCAGACATGCGGGTAAATTGCAGCACATAATAATTGTCAAATCTTACGACTCATGAGTATGAAATAAAAAAAAGAACCAAGTTATATGTAATGCCACTGCTCCCATTCTCTAATATAAATCTGTCAACTAGGGTGAAAGCTGCATCAAGCAAACAGAACAGAGCACTGTAGATTGTTCAAAGAAAGACTTATAAACTAAGAAGGTAAAATAAATCGTGTTTTAGACATCACAGAGGCTAACACACTAAAAAAATGTAATAGATATTATGAGTAAAAGATCTTATTTACAAATGAGGTTAGCTATAGGAGTGCCTTGTCATACATCTGAGCTCAAGAGAATACGGTCAGATGCAATATAAAAGAGGGGACAGGCCCAGCTCTGATGGCTGAAGGACGGCAGCCAGTTGCCTTCATTACTAAAGAAATAGGCGCACTCATGAGTCAGATGGCATGGCCACCGGTAATCCTGTTTAGGACATAAATCTAGAGTGCCCTCACTTGTGCAGGCTCACATTCAACCACCTGTGAGGAGGAAATTCTGCTGTTTTTTAAGGTTAATGAGCTTCAAAATGTCAAGACCCCTCCATCCAAGTGACATGAGCAATACGAAATGCATTTTTCGCACTCGTCCTTGACCTGTTGCCATCAATCCTACAGCGTCTTCCTTTCCTCGACAACTCTTTCAAGCAGTGCTCATTACAGCCGTCCAGGTCACATCTGTGCGACTTTTTTCAATGCCTTTCACCGTGTATCATCACATACATTGCCTGGTACGAAGATGCAGTCACTGCCAATTTCTTTGGCAACCTCCTCTCCCTTGGATGTGGGCAGGTCGAAAATGGCCACCTGTGCACCCTGGCGTACAAACCGTGCTGCAGTTGCCTTGCCAAGCCCAGAAGCGCCACCTGTCACCAAGGTCACAAGGCCCTGCACATAGTGCATTTTTGTTTGTTTATTGACACATCGAGGAGCATCAAAGGAAAACCAATTGTTACTATTACCAAGAATTACACCTGCAAGAGTACAGGCATCAAACGTAAAGTTTTTCTGTTTATCCCGTGTTTATTACAACAGCAATAAAAATAACACAAGGCACTTGCAGTGACCACTGCATGGCCTAAATACACAAGGCATGTAGATCTCACATAAATATAGTAATATAAAAGAGGAAACCAACGAATAAAAACCATCTTTCATTTCTAAACAGAAGCGTTAGAGGTTTTAAATGCTGGCACAAAACAATGGCTACTATAATAACACCACACAACATGACCGTAGCATTTCTGTGGTTCTTGCAGAATGTAAAATACGCCATAAAATGCAGGTTTGTAGAGTGTCAAGGTGTGTCTGTTGGACACAACACTTCAATACAAAATTTATAACTATAATTCTCTTTTACATAGTTGAGATTCAAGAAGTCTTCGCAAACTCCACACTAACATTCTCATGCCCTTTGGAATTTGTTAGTTGTGAGGCGCATCTAATAGAGACAATAGCACAGAGAGCCCTTTGGAGACAGCATAACATTGTTCTTTTTTTTTTTTTTTGCATTAGCCTAAGATCCTTCACTACCTCCAATGTCAACAGATATCCACTGACCCACATAGCAGGCACAATTGCACGAGTCTTTAAATTAAGGTCTGCTAACCTACCAAACATCTGGCAGAATGAGAGGTTAATTTGCATTGGCCAAGTTTATGTGTGAGACAGTTGTGCTTGCAACATGTACTTGAAACATGCATTTCTTTTACATTTGTCATTTGTGTCTACCACGTGTCTTAAAATCCCAACACACTTGCACACAGATTATTTATATGAAAATCCTATGGCAATCTAATTAAGAGATAAGTAGAAAGCAAGAATGCACAAAAATTATTACACAGCAATCCATTTTTTTATTTTTCTTGACCTTCAATAAACAGTTTTTATTTAACTTGTGCCATTGCTAAATGACCCCCTCAGTGGCAACATGCATAATTGTGCACATCAACCATGACAGCTTGTCACACACAGTATGTTTGTACAATCAGCTTGAAATCAGACTTGTATATGTCTACACACTTTCCGGGTGGACAAGTGCTTAATGAAATTCACTGTGCTGTGCTCCAAGAGATAACTTTGGTGAAGACGCTACCTTGTTTGATGAGTCATTCAATTTGGTGCACCATGTCAAGACTATTTTGTTCAGAATGAATAGTACCGAGAACAAATTTCTCACATATTCTGAGACTGAGATATAATTCTTCTCACATGAAAAAAGGCCACGACTAGCTCCTGAATAAATAAGATTTTCTTAACAGCAGTTATGAATAATTACTGAAAATGCATGCATAAACATATTATACCACCTTTTTTTTATTAGCAACAGGCTATCGAGTGCTTTGGAATGAAGTTGCATATATTTAACAAATTTAGCAGCACACTGTAATTTGTACCTGAAGGAGATAACTGAAGTACCTCCAGGCCATTGTAGCATCTTGGAATGCATTACACCAGACTCGGCACACTGCACTTCAGTAAGAGTTATTTTCATTTCTGTTTAACTTCCGCTCTTTGCAACAATAATGCTGCCTCTCGAGAACATGCCAATACTGGCATGCTCTTGCATAACGATAACTGAAATAGATTTCTGTGTGCTCATTGATGGCATGTGTTCGCTTCAGTATTCTCCTTTTTATTACTACTGGTGCGGTCTCCATCACATTCTCTAAAAGCATCTGTGAGCCCAGTTTATCCTTGCTGTCGTACTGTTATAGCCTATCTGAGCACGAACCATAAGGACCATGGAGAACTTGATGGCGTCATAATCACTCCAAATGTTTTCTGGGGACGACGCTCCTTAGGGTGTGCGTCGTTCCTTCGCAGTAGTAGCCACTTTTAGTTAGTTTTAAGAATTGCTCACCAGATCGTGTTGCGTGTATATGTCCTTGGAAATGATATCACTAGATGACGTAAAAGGTTTTTCTATAGTTGACGATTAAAGAGTATAAATGGCGCTGTTGTAATAAGAAATTCATAGCATATCCATGGAGTGAATGATGATGAGTAGGACGAACCGTCCGTCTGTCACACAGACGAACAGACAAATGGACAAGCAGACGGATGGGTGGATGCACGGACAGACGGATGGACAGACAGACAGAAGGATGGACAGATGGAATAACAGACGGACGGTCAGAAAGGTGGGTGAATGGACAAACAGACGGATGGTTCGCCCCACTCATCATCATTCACTCCGTAGACATGCTGTGAATTTTTTGTTTCCTCCACAACAAGGCGTGTTAGCATCATCCATTTAGAACAATACATAATTCACAAAATCTTCACTTGATCTTCACTCTAGTGTCTATACATTTCTACCCAAATTGTTAATTGTTTAATGAAAACTATTGTGGAACACAAACACATTTTGTGACCATGTGGCCTTTTTTTAAATCTATAACGTAATAAACCTTTTTTTCAGACTGCCTTTAGGGGGACACTAAAGTCAAATATGTCGATTATGATGGCTGAAATAGCGGTCCAGAAACTTCGTAGTGCTACTTTTGTGCCAAAAAAGTGCTTATTTTGAAATAAAATCACATCTTAGTGGTCCGAATCGCGTTAGCCCGCTTCAAATTACCCGCCTCAAATGGTACCTTTCACGTAAGTGTTGCTGTACACAACGTTGCTCAGCTTTACTGTGCGGCTGCCGACAGTAGTAGCAGCAGAACCAAAATAGAGGGAGCCAGAGCAGCAACAACGGCCATTGAACGATTTCCTGCCATGGCTATTTGTTTGTGCCATGGCTAGATTGTGAGCTAACCCCATTTTGCACGCATGCTTGGTTCGACTGGGCCCCGCTAGATGGCATGACCTGGCCAGTTTAACTAGGTGAAAATTGAATTTTTGAACCACTTGCGCCATTCCCCTTAATAACGTTTGGTGGTTCTTTTTTTCATGAATCAAACAGAAACGAACAAGCAGCATTTTATTACATCTCTCGATATACAGAAGGTTCTTTATTTAGTGCAGCTAGTTCGATTACTAATGATTAAATAGGCGGTACGTCTGAAGTAATCGGGATCATTTTGGGAATGTCCTATCGTAGCGCGTGTGTTCTCGTGCATTCATCTTAATTTCTCGTTGTTGTTTTAAACATAGCCATACATCGAGCTTTCACTCTGACATAAATTGTTATTTGACTTTAGTGTCCCTTTAAAGAAACTCTAAATGGTTTTTGACATTTTATTAGCATTTAGGGTACAGCATCAGTCAATCATTTGCAGCACAACTTAAGTGATGCACCTTAAATCATCGCATCTTGCCTTTCTTTTCAGCACTGCCATTCCTTCACTTGTCGAATACGCAGCTAAAGCACCATCATTACTGGCGATTACAATGCACTTGACGGGTATGAGCATGAATTAGATTTGTTCCTACAGGTGCTGCAATGATGCCAGCCATCCGTGTAGATATTGAGTGACCACATGCCGTGCTCTTGCCTTCGGAGTAGCAGCTTGTTGTCAGCGTTGCTATCTCGCCTTTTGCGGGCGAGAGTGCTTTCACAATCGTTTTCATCCACAGCAGAAAGAGAGGTCTGGAATGCAGTTATTTTTCAACATGACATACAGTGGGTGCCTTGTATGTGCTGTGCCGTGATGGCATAAAAAAAGGTGTAGTTTGGAACGTGCTTATTCTTCTTCATTGTCATTGCCGGTCAACAGACATTGGGCAAGCCTAGACTCTAAGGTGCTTCACCCCTAAAAGTACATCCAAGAATGGTCACAGATAGGCGTAAACACAGGCAATGTGCTGGTGGTCTTTGGGGCTAAAGTTTCAGCTGCAGATGTGAGTATCCTGACCTTGATTAGATATCGAGAGTCCAGTCACTGCAATGATGAGTTGAAGCACACTGTACTAGCTGAAGTGACACCGCTTGCCCAGCTGCCTAGGAGGATGTCGCAGCTTTAGATGTCAAAAATTTTGAAATTTATAGCCAATAACGCAGCTAGGATAATTTATGATGTCTGAGAAACCTCCAACATAAACAACATTGTGCAGCCCACGGCAACACGGAGCACGTAACTCAGGAAGACGACGGTCACCGTCCACCAGGGGTCTTCGAGTCTGGCTGTAAATTTTGATTAAATGTGTATTCTTTTTTGGTACTTCCTTCTTGTAACCAAATCTAATTATAAAGTGTGTCAACTATTATGAACTGCATTAGTTCTCAATTAGGTTCACAAAAAATAGTGAGTGACAGATTTGACAAAAAAAATCGGATTCTTGTGCTATGCATACAGGAATAATGCTACGTACAATGGAAGTGGGCGGTTGAAAACTTCTTCTGCTAAGCTGCTGTAACCTGTAGCAATTTTCAGGTTGAAATGAATCACACACACCTTACGTGAAAAGCTTAAGTTAGCCTGCAATAGATCCTAGGGACTTTCTCTGCATGCTCATTGCATTTCAATAAAATTGTCAAAACCATACTGAAGTACCTTAAGAACAGTGTGTCTTTCATCCACTCATCGTCCACTCAGTATTATTTCAAAGCTAAGTTTCCTTTAGCACGTAATTATTCATGATTTTCTTTCTAATTGTGTGCATCCCTGTCACCTATCTTGACAAAGCTAAATCCCTGATGCCAACAGGAGTACTATTTTAAATTTATATCTATAACCTATGAAATCAAATGTGTAACATCTAATCATAATATTACTGGCCTTCAAGAATGTATGCATGCACGTCTCTCACAGTTCCTTAATATACAAAAACTATAGTTTGAATAATACTGTTCCATCAATTGCATACTTGGCTGTTGTAATTAACCATAACCTAGCATGACAAGTGCTAACCCAATATTATGGTACATCAAATGAACTTTCTTGGCACAGCTATTACTTACATGCTGCACGTTTAACCTGCTTCTTGAATACAGCAAC